TTTTAATTTTAATTTTTAATTTTTATTTTTTTTGCAGTATGCGGGCCTCTCACTGTTGTGGCCTCTCCCGTTGCGGAGCACAGGCTCCGGACGCGCAGGCTCAGCGGCCATGGCTCACGGGCCCAGCCGCTCTGTGGCATGTGGGATCTTCCCGGACCGGGGCACGAACCCATGTCCCCCTCATCGGCAGGCGGACTCTCAGCCACTGCGCCACCAGGGAAGCCCCTTAACTATTATTTTGAAGGTACAAGATAGATGACAAGACATGAGATTTGTGACACAAATATTCTTTAGTCACCTTCTATGATCGAACCAAACCAAGATCATGGTTTCCCTCAGTGATAACACCCATTCAGCTCCCAGTTCCTGTAGGAAATCATGGCGTTTAGCCAACCTAGAGAACAGAATGTGGTTCATTGGAAACTCAGATCGGTTTATCATTATTAACACTGAGTCATTCCACTGAGAAACTATTGCTGTAAAGGAGGAATTCAGGAACACAAGAGGCAAGACAACATGGGGAAAACTCATGGGAGAATAAAGCAAACATTTCACTACATGCTGTTCAATTTATACCTTTAGGTTTGATATAACTTAAGGGTATAGATTGAAGTGGGCAGGCGAACAGACCCAAACACCGGCATCACCTGGGAGTTCATTAGAAATGCACGATCTTATGCCCAGAGACCTACTAAATCAGATTCTGTGTTTTTTTCCGTTTTTTTTTTTTTTTTTTTGGCGGTATGCGGGCCTCTCGCTGTTGCGGCCTCTCCCGTTGCGGAGCACAGACTCCGGACGCGCAGGCTCAGCGGCCGTGGCTCACGGGCCCAGCCGCTCCACGGCATGTGGGATCTTCCCGGACCGGGGCACGAACCCGCGTCCCCCGCATCGGGAGGCGGACTCTCAACCACCGCGCCACCAGGGAAGCCCAGATTCTGTGTTTTTAACAAGACCCCCTGGTGATTTGCATACTAAAATTTGAGAAGTAATGCTTTGTAGTGATCACTTTGCTTTTTCTCCTCCTTCTTGGATTCATCTGGGCATGTGCTTAGAGAAGACGCAATGGTCTGAACACGGATTGCTTTGTGTAATCTCTGCAATGATTCATTTAATGTAGTGCTCTTTCTTTTTCTACCAGCTGTGTGCTTCTAGGCCACCAATGCTTGCTGTCCTAGGAAATGATTATACATTATAACTAACTTTGTGGAATGTACATTCATCTATACAAACTGCAGCTGGGAACTTGTCTTAAGCAAAATTACACGATATACACCAACAGTATGTGTGCGATGGTGGAAGCTGACAAGCTACTAACACTTATCAAAGAAAACCTGCGAGAAATACTCCGTTTTACCACTAGGTGGAAATAGAGTAATTTTGAGTGTATTTTTCGGGGCTATCAACTACTGCAGGAGTACTTCATAAACTGAAAGGATTCTAAGAAATTAATTAGTCTAATCCCTACCTTCTTAATTCCATAGATGAGAAAACTGAGGTTTAGAGATATTAAAGAAAATTGCATCTGTCTTATAACTAGTAGTCTACTAGAGCCACTGGGGGAAGAGTCGCTAGTAATTCAGGATTCTTCAACCATTTTTATCTACAAGAATAATGTGTTATTATCCTCCAGCATGAAGGAACACATGATGTGACACCTACACTGTCTCTGTGCTGCCACTAAAAGTAATGACCAGCACAGTTCCTTCTGTTTGTAAGGATAGGCTAGGATAAAACTGTTGTCCCCTGTTCGTTGTATTGTAATATAATTAATCTCAATCAAGTGATAATTCTCTTCCCGTTTTCCAATGAAGAGATACTCAACCATCCCGTCGACTGAAGAAAATGCACAACCTAAAAACTGAGAATTGTGTTTTATTCAGCGGACTTTCTGAGGACTTAAGCCTGGGATACAGCCTCTCAGATAGCTCTGAGGGACTGCTCCAAAAGGGGTAGGGGAAGAGCCGGGATACAGAGGAGTTTGTGCCAGTAAAAAAAAAAAACCCAAGCAAAACCATGTAGTTGAATATCAAAAGATTACTGCTAAACACAAAAAGACAGACATCTCGAGTTAATGATTTTAGTGCTTTTCTTTGTATGGGAAGATGCAAGAGTCTGGGCTCATTGAAATCATTCTTTTGCTATGCACCTTAACTACTTAGGGCCAAGATGCTGTTTTCCCTCCATCCTGAATCCCTGCAGAGCGCACATCGGGGGCAGCTTTATGGCCACAGCAACATCCTCTGTTTACTGAAATAGTAGGCGACATTTTTTGTCCACAGTCCCGTAAAGTCATACAAGATTTTAATCAGATTTCTTTTCACAACAGTTTTGGTTTTTACACTTATACTGGGTTCAAGTTAAGTAGTCTAGAACAGGACTTTAATTAGCAGGTTAAGAAAGTACTCAATGTTTTTCAGAGCTTATAATCCATTACTAGTATTCTTAAGAAAGGAAGGGAATCTGAATTTTGGGCTTGAGGTCCCTTAGAAATAATTGACTGCAATCTCTCTCTGTATTTGTAATAGGGATGAGAGGCATCAGAGAACAAGGGATTAAGTGTGTTGCCCACAGTAGCAGAGCAATCACAATGCCCTTCCTCTTTGTTCCATAAGAGACAGTAACAGGCATTTTGGCCTATATCTCTTATGTTTGTTGATGTGTTTTAACCACTAAAGGATTGTTTCCACTTGTCAACTGAAAAAAATGCACAACCTAAAAGTTGAGAATTATGTTTTATTTGGTGGAGTTTCTGAGGACTTAAGCCCAGAAGACAGCCTCTCCAATAGCTCTGAGGGACTGCTCCAGAGAGGGAAGGGAGGAGTCGGCATATAGAGGAATTTTTGCAACAAAAACCAGATAGAGCACCCGAAGACTACTGTTAATTAAAGAAAACCAGACATCTCAAGTTAACAAAGTTAACACTTTTCTACATACGGGAAGATGCAAGAGTCTGGGATCACACCTTTGATATGGGCCTTAACTATCTAGGGCCTGTATTTTGCTTTTTTCCATCCTGAATCCCCTTGGGGTGCGCAGTCAGGGCGCTGCTGTGGCTGAGGCCTTGATGGTTGCAACATCCTTTGTTTACTGATGTGGCAGGGACATTTTTCATCTACACATTCATCACATCAAAGAGTGTGCTTAAACGTTAAGTTTTGGGTAATGCCTCTGGTATAAAAGCAATTTAAGTACCTGAGTATTTAGTACTATAGTGCCAATTTCCTTCTGATATTTCTATAGCATGGTTGACTATGATAACCTAAAAATTAGTATTTCGGCACTGAGTCCTGGCTATTATTACCATATTCTATACAAAAAGGGACAAAACCTGCTGAACTAGCACATTAAGAAGGCAAGTCCAAACACGTAGGAACTGTTTCTTCAGGAGGAGGGGCAGCGGGCCGCGCTAAGTGTCTGGAAGCCAGCGCTTGCTTTGCTGAGCAAATGACGCGCTCAGCTGCCCTCAGAATGTGAATGTTTGCTGAGCAGTAGAGCCTCAGGTGTGTGACGTACCGGCCCTTAGTGGCACAACTGAATGGCCTGAGTCGCTCAGTATTAAAATGGTACCACAAGGAAAACTGGGATGACCCTAAAATTAGGGCAGGAACTTGAAAGGGCTACAGTGCAGGGGAGTAAATGTCCTGAGTCACGCGGGGAGATGACAAACCAAGCTCAGATTTCAGTTTGTTAAGGAAGGTACAAGAGCTAGTGTCTTGGAATAGTTCAGGGGACTGTAGCCTCTACTCTTAATCCCTTGAGGAGAGTGAGCCAGAGGCAGCCAGGTGTGGACCTATTTCACAAGGTCTAGAGTGAGAAGGATCTGGACAGGCATTCTGGTTCTGCCACTCTGCAAACTTTCCCTGCCATATTTCTCTTTCAGAAAGTTGGGATAATATTCTTCAGCAAAAATCTAGTGGAGATCAGTTAATGGATATAAAGGAGCCAGGAAGTACAGCATCCAGCAAGGAGGCATTCAGTAAATGGACCTTATCCCCACCAAGTGGGCTACCTTCTCTGTGCGGCAACCTCCTCACGTCATCCCAACTCACTCCCACAGAAACCCAGGAGCACAAAGTAAGATACTGCGACAAGCACACTTTGAAAAGTATGACGTTCTACATACAAACACAGGGTATTATTATGATTAAAGGTGAAGAGGAAAAGTGCTGGAATCTAAAGACTTGGGAGCCTGAGGGGAAACTGAAAATATAAATAATAAAACATACTTGAACGAGAACATTTGACAGCAGTGGCAGTCACTTAAGCTGATACCTGCTACAGAGTCTGAGTTTGGAAAACCAACTTCTTGGGACATCTCCATCCACCCAGCACTTTCTGATAAAATGGTCTAACTCAACTCAGGTATACACCCATCCTGAGGGCCCATTTGGTCCGGGAGTGGCCTGAGGGTGGGGAGAACGGGTTGTCTCAGGAGGGTGTGGGATGAGGGTTTGCCCCCTGTCTGCGAGCAGTGACTAGTGAGGCAAAGAAGTTTATCAATCGATCAATCAATTCCCGCCATTGGAGCGGAGCGAAGGCTAATCGATTCTTTGGGGGTGTTTTGAACGGAAGAGGGGCGGCAGCTTGACGTGGGATCGGTGGGCCGGGTCCGCCGGTAGCCCCTCTGGCTTCCTGGGCATAAGGAGGCGCGGGAACGTGCAGGGGCTGGCGTCCGGTGTGGTGTGGGGCGCGCCGGGCGAGTCCCTGCTTGCAGGAGGCGCCGGAGGAGTCCTCGCGGCCGGGTCAGGTGGAGCGGGTTTGCCTGTCTGGACCCCCGGAGCGAGGCCCGGAGGCCGGG